AAAATTTTGGTCCTCAGATTATCAAAAAAAAAAAAAAAAAATCTGCCAATGAAAGCAGTAGAACTCACTGTTCGCTGAGCGATTTTTGCGCTGTTTTTTTGACCACAGCTCATGGCAATCTTGCCAATCCGGAAGTTTTGGTGGTGGCACACTCGACGGATCAACGTCTTTTAGCCAAGGATGCGCCAGCGCTGCTTTGGAGGTAATCCTCTTTTTCGGGTCGAGCTCCAACATTCGATCCAGTAAATCCAATGGCTTATCCCGTATACTGGAACAGTTACAGAACACATAATCCTAGGCACTACAATCATTTTTGCATAGCAAATGAACAACAACCGCAACAACTTACAATCCGAATGTGTCACGCAGGACGCGCGGAAATGTTCGCTTTGGTCGAAAACTGACGTAGAGGGGTAATTTAATGACATCGGGCCAATTTTCTGGAGATGGCGTGCCGCACAATTTCGATATTACGTCAAGTTGCACCATTTCACTGTTTCCTTGGAACAACGGTTTCTTCGTATACAATTCTCCAAGAATACATCTACAAACAATTACGTCTAAAAAAAATAAAAAAAAAGAGCAAAGGAATACAAAAACAAGGACCAAGATTACTGGGGCGCGGATGGAAGCAGCCTCTGTCACGGCAATCATGAAACAGCGGACACCTACTTCTACAACGTGAGAGTAAAATCCCCCTCCCCTTAAGATCAAATATCGTGGTGCGGGAATAGCAGCACATCTAAACACTGCCAAAGGCAACACAGGGTACTATTCCTAGCAGCTTCTACTATGCCGAAAAGTCGCTGCGCCACATTTTTTTTTGGCTAAGCCTGACGTCGCAGTGCTCTGTGTACCCAATCAGTCAGTGGTAATGCTGTACAAAAGTCACCGTAGAACATAATAAATAGCAACGCGCGCCAGACTAGCCGGTGCGATCATGCGTTTTGTGCAATTCCGTCCACCGAACGATTGCGTACTAATGATTTTCACTACTTTGTACTCTACTCTGTGCAAAAACAGTTGAAACGCTGGAAAATAATTAAAAATTTCACGCGCTGGCTCGTGAAAGCTGAATTCGAAACCTTGAAGGGTAAATATCTTTCCGTGATACCTGAGATAATAGTTTGCCCGCCAAAATGTTTATGAGGCCGTAAGTGATACCCGACAGCGCGGTAACGCTGAATTTGTAGGGTCGTACGTGGGCAAGGGGTCATCACCGCAAAATTTCAGCTTTGTAGACTTTGTGGTTCCCGAGATAACAATTTAACCGCAGAAAATTTTCACAAGGCCGTAAGTGGTACTGGAGAATGCGGGAACGCTGAATTTGAATTTGCAAGGTCATACGCGGGCAAGGGATCAACACCCTAAAATTTCAGCTTCGTAGACTTTGTGATTCCCGAGATAATTTACCGGCAAAAAATTTTCACAAACCCGTAAGTGATACTCGAGAATGCGGGAACGCTGAATTTGAATTTGCAAGATCGTTCGTGGGCAGGGGGTCACAATCCTAAAATTCCAGCTTCTTAGACTCTGTGGATCCCGAGATAATGATTAACCCGTCAAAAATTTTCACGGGGCTGTACATCTTACCCGCGGGCAGCGGAAACCTGAATTTAAATTTTCTGGGCAGCACATGGGCAGAGGACATGCCCACAAGATTTCAGCCTTCTAGCTTCCGCGGCTCCGTGATAATAATCTTACCCGCCCAA